AGGGAGAGGGGGGGGGGGGGAGAGAGAAAGAGAAAGAGAAAGAGAAAGAGAAAGAGAAAGCTAAACTAACACTCAACCAGGCTACCCATATTACGAAACCGTCAACGACAACACCATCGACAACGCCGGAAATCTCTTCTTCGTCTCCTACAACACCACTCTAACCGTTTCGCAAGGAAAACCCGTCTGGATCACAGAGACGGGCTGGCCAGTCGCCGGACCCAAATCGGGAGCCGCAGATGCCACAGTCGACAATGCGAAAAAGTATTGGGATGCAGTGGCGTGTCGACTCCTGGGAAATGTGAATACCTGGTGGTTCACAATGGATGACACCAAAAAGGACCCGAATGAGATTTCGTTTAGTGTGCTAAAGCCGGGTTTGGGTGATCCGCTGTTTGATTTGGCGTGTTAGGTACCTGTCGTTAATTTAAGGGAGGGGAATCACTAGTAGCGGGTCGATAATGTGGGAATGAATGTAGTATTTAATGAGTCCACTGACTTGATTTGTCGTGGAGAGTGAAGCTACTATATAGACGGAGTCAGAAGTGCATGGAGCAGTCTGGTCTTTGGACAAGTTCTCTTGAGCATTCCTGGTGCAGTGCCCCGTCTGTCAACAATAAAGGTCGAATATCTTTCCGGTCTGTCTGTTTGTCCTATCTGTTTGTAGGATTATTGATGACAGTGTGTTTTTTCCCGCAAACTCTCTGTTTTGCTTCGCTTTTTCTTTTCGAGGACTGCTGAGGGTCTGTTTGATCATTTTCTTTGTTTTATCATATGGTGGCCAGATGGCGGTCTGTCTTGCGTACTGCCCCGTCTTGCGCGCCAGGGGCTATTTGAATTGCCCGTTTTGGACAAACGATGGGCCAGGGTAAATGAGAAGAAGGAGAAGAAGAAGAAGAAGAAGAGTAAATCAATCAATCAATTATATTGTAAACCCCCGCATTCGCGCGAGGTACGTGGGAAACCCAGGTAGGACAAAACCACGTACGGGACATTGGAAAACTCCCTATCCCCATCTCCTCTGCACAATAGACGCAAAATCTACTATTCGTTTTGTAAGAAAGTCGTACCCTCGCGATTCAGGCGGCAGAATCGCAGTCGCAGTCGGCGGGGGTAGAAGAGTTCGTAGGTAAGAGGGGCAGCAATACGTACGCGCGGTGTCATTATCTCGGGTCGACGCATTGTCCATCTATGGGACTGACATTTTTGCAACCCATAGCGTCGCCCGAACATTTGCAGGCGCCTGGAAATTGCGGATTCGTATGTTCCCAGCCTTGGAACCCTGGTGCAGCAGGATTCTAAGTGAAACTGTGAGCTATATACAATGATATAGTAATGATGTATCCTCTTACTTGGACCGTTTGGCAACAAGTGCAGATGAATCCGCATGCTCCCAAAACTCTAGGCGCGACTAAGAGCAGAACAGCGATTATTTGAAGCAGCGACACAGGCGTAATAGTCGTCTTCATTTTCCTTCCGAGGAACATCCTCCTGAGTCCTAGGAGGTAGCTGTGTGGTGAGCGGCAATCTACTCCCGTTATATACCTTTAAGGAGTCAATCTTACCTTTTCTGGAGAAGATGGTTTCGAATGGGGCTTGGTGTCTTGAGTGCCTTAGAAAGCGTACCTCCTAGAGGTATGGCGTATGAACATTTAAGTATTGCTAAAAGCTCTGGTAGCCGTAGGGTTGAACGAATAGGCGAATTAAATCTCTACGAGGTAATTCGCCTGGACCTACTAGATATAGCGTGGAGCGGTCGGTGACTCCTCTTTGTTCTTATCTTTGTTCTTCTCTTCGGAATTTTAGCCAAGGTGGCCCGTAGTCGTAGGGACAAGTAGGCAGGCAAGTAGGTAGGGAGGTAGGTAGGGAGGTAGGTAGGGAGGTAGGGAGGTAAGGTAGGTAGGCAGGTAGAGTCTATCCCAATTTGGTAGTTGGTCGCGGTAGAAGTGAATTTGGTAGTTGGTCGCGGTAGAAATGACTCTCCCCAATTTGACGTGTAGACCTTCGAATGCTAGTCGGTCGGAAGAATCGGCTGTAACAGGAGGCATAAGAAGCTTTGAATCTTGATTACTACCTGTTGTATTGATCAATGATAGGCTATTAAGAATAGTTATTAGTCGTAGAGAAATAACAAGAGCCTGTTTGACTTTCTAACCCTTAAGGGCTTAGGAATTTACCTACCTCCTACGACCGAAGAACAAGATTCAGCAACCAATCGCTGCTCGAATGGCCTGAATTGGGAGCCTTTGAGATGGTCCTGCCTACTCACTTCAAGGCTGCAGCTGACAGGATCTAGAACACCATTTTCAATCCCACAGAAAGCTGACAAGCTTGACCCAACCCTTGGGAACTGGATCGGGCTCTTCTGGCTTCCTTTCAATTTCCTCGAATGCCTCTCGGAGAGGGATTTCCGCCAGCTTGACAAACTTGGTTTTCTTGAAAAACTTCCACAATAGAAAAGCTGTCAGCACGAGAGGAATGTCGAGATAGCTCGAGACAAATCCGGATGCAGTGAAGCCGCCCGTGGTGAAGTTCGAGAAGCCGCTTGTGAAGAGGATGGTGACTGTGAGCACTAGTGCTGTCGGCGTGGAGTAGCGTGTCCAGGAATTGTGCCAGGGAAGAAGCGAGTATGGGATCTGTTGCTTCTTCATCGCCAGTAATAATCGTTGATGGTTGATCAGAATCACGCTCCAGCTGATCAAGACTCCGCAGCTCACGAGGTCCAGAAACCAGTAGAAGACCGTCAACGCGCCATTGGACAAGCTCATGAACGCCAAGAACATGAATACAGTTTGGAGGAGCACGCAGACATATGGCACGCCCCAGGAAGTGGTTCGCAGGAAGATCTGCGGTGCTTGTTGCTTCAGTGCCAGGGCATAGAGGACTCGAGTGCCTGACAGCAAGGCCTGATTCGACGAGGACCAGGCCGATGTGATGACAATCGCATTCACCACCGAAGGAATCGCCTTGATACCGGCTGCAGATGCTGCAATGACAAAGGGGCTCTGCGCCGCTGTACCGGACTGATCATTCAAGCGCTCATCGTCACTCGCCACGAGCATGCCGACCACCAGGACTGCGAGCAAGTAGAAGATGGCCACACGGAAGAAGACTCGCTTGCATGCTCTCGGTATGGCTTGGCGAGGATTTCTCGTCTCTGCCGCTGCCATCGCTACCGATTCTGTGCCTGCGAAAGAGAAGACTGCAGAGCTCATACAAGCCCAGTATCCGAGAAACTTGCCCCAAGCGCCAGTGCCGATGTATTCGACAAAGGGGCCTGGTGTCTTCCAGTAGCGAAAACCGATCCTCTCGACACCAGGCACGCCACCGAGAGCGATTACCAAGCCGAGGATGATGAGGAATATGATGAAGAAGATCTTGAGCAGAGCGAACCAGAACTCGACTTCGCCTGAATACGGTGTCAGTTATGATACTTCGAGTACTTGATGAATCTCGTGGCTGCAGCTGAGACGTAACGTACCATAGACTCTGATCAGGGACATGCCAATGACACATGTCAAGAGGATGAACAGGATGATCCACACTGAACTGTTAATGTCCGACCAGTATTGGATCAAGACACAGATGGCTGAGATTTCCGCCTATAGAAGTGACGGGTCAATACTTCAGCAGGTACCTTTTCCTTTGGCCAGTCCGCAACTCTTCTGGCTATGGTCCATCTTCTCACAACTTACCGGTATGCTCAACCAATTTCCATAGACCTACACATTGTCGAGTCAGCACTCATATATCACTTTCTCCGATCGAGCCAGACCCCATCCCGCCATCACAGCACATCACAATATTCAACATCAACCACCACCTATACCAGAGCAAAACTAAATCAAAAATGACCAAATAGCAAAAACCAGAGAAAAAAAAGAGGAAAGAAAAAAAAAGAAGAAAGAAAAGAACACCAACTCACAATATTCCACCCAACCGCAAACCCCACCGCCGGATCGATCAAAAACTCGGCATGTCTCACAAAACTGCCCGTGACGGGCAACAACGCCGTCGTCTCCCCCAAGGCAAACTGCACACTACACACAATCCAGCCAACGGTGAAGTAGCCCAACAACGCACCCAGAGGACCTGCGAGTTGAATGGAGGATCCCAGACCAAGGAAAAGGCCGGTTCCAATGGCGCCGGCGATGGCGATGAGGGAGACGTGGCGTTGGTGCAGGCCTCGTGTTAGGTCGGATTCTTCGGCGGGGGTGAGGAAGTCGGCGGAGGAGGAGGAGAAGGGTGTTTCTTGTTCTTGTTCTTCTTCTACCCCTGTGGATGATGATGGGGGGAAAATGCTGGTGGTGGTGGTGGTGGTGGTGGTGGTGGTGTGGTGGTGTGGCTCAGTTTTGCCCATGTTGCTGGCGTGGCGGAGGACTGCGTGTCGGGAAGTGCTCCTGTCGCTGTGGTCGCTCATCTTGTCATAGGGTCATGATGAAGACAGACTGCTTTGGTGCTGTGGTGGTGGTGGTGGTGGTTGTTGTTGTGGTACATATACCTCCTACATGACGGAGCATTTCCATCGATAACACGCATTGCAGAGACTAGGTCGACCAGAAAATGGAGGACTCGGCAATGATTTGCTCATTGGGATGGCGTGCTGCACAGATTGATCTTCGGTCGGAGGAAATTTGGCCGAAAGCGGCATAGGCATGCGAGATCAAGGGAACAACCGCACGCTGAATGAAATATTGATGAGGCCTAGTCAATATTGATGCACTACTAGGGTACCTAGGTAGGTACTACCTTAGTACATGTAGGTAAGGTACCTATAGATGTACTCATATCACGTCGTGCATGTCCCCTCCTTCTTCATTATTCTTCGTAAGGTATGTATGGCCTCAGGTATGCTATGTTTCCTTGCATCCATTCACCTGCCGTCCTCCACCACCCCCTCTCCTCCTCCCGTCCATCAATCCTACCCGTCCTTTACTGGGTGACGTACACGACATCGTAGCCCTGGTCCTGGTACGAGGAGTAGCTTTCCTTGTCGGTAGAAAGCAGAGGAATGCCGAGAACGCTGAGAACGTCTTTCTCGCTGTGCGCTTGGCTGCCCATATCGCCATAGAATCGCCATGCTACTGGAACCGTCTGCGGTTTGTAGACGGCCCAATAACCACCGTCCCCGCCGTTGTGTCTCTTAGTGATGGCCTGAGGCGATGAATCAATTAGCGAAGAACGGAAGGTATCCCAAGAGTGCGACCATGTAGTACCTCAGGAGCGGCCTCTGCGACCGGAGCGGGAAGAGGAGTGGCCCCAACATTGGTGGCGGCAAAGGCTGCCAAGATGGTAGCGATGGTGTGGAACTGCATTTTTGCTGGGAAGGTGTCTTGTGTTGGTGTGTGGATCTGGAATGGAGATTGTAGCAGGCGTCGAATGGCTGTAAGATGCGATGATGGGAGTGCGATCTTCTGGTGCCGGAGGACCAGCTACTTATACAGCCACGACGACTTCTAGATTCAATCATGCTCACGGGTGCTTACGGTCACGTATGGAAACGGCATCACGACGCCATTGCCTCTTCCGGTGTACAATGCTGCAACCCTACCTCGTGTATCCAAGCAAGAAGGCGAGTAACACCGACCTCCACGATATGTGTTGTCGTCGGTATATGCTCTTGGCTACCAATCAGACGAGGGCATTCGAGCGCAGAGTGCAAAGGACGCTCCAATGTCGGTCGGCAGACCATGTCATGCCAGGGTCGACCTGAGACTCGGGAGGTTAGAGACGTCAAAATATACTTTGTGAAACTTGACAGACAGCAGAAAACGCAGGGCAGAACCATGAATGGCACTTGTCGTCCTCTCCGAACGCCAAGTCACTCAACCCTGCCCGGAGTCGAAGCCGTCCCTTGTGAGTGGGCGAAGAGTGATGCAGAAAAGCCTGTTTGGTGTGCCGAGCGGAGCCTAACTTTTGACATGCACAATCTAAGCGCTGGCTCTACACCAATTTCTCCTGCTCGTGCCTCTTATACTCCTGCTCCGGTTCGGATGACAGCCCTGCCGACATTCTCCACGAGATGAGGGCAGGAAGCTCGCAATCAGGGTCCTGCGGCTTACGGACAGGCTGGCAGCTGATGACTGGTCGCCCAACAGTTTCGTCAACACTGCCTGAGGGATATCGATGCTTTGTTGATGCGGACGTTGCGTGACGGACCTGGTGAAGACGACATCAACCAGGTACATGTAGCTGCGTCTCATGGAGCTATTACTGGCCGATCTTCACAAGATGCCCACATGCGGAATCGCGCTGCAGATTGGACGCAGGCACACCCAATTACGCTATAGGCGAGCTCGAACTGGCTCCTGAATACAGGCTGGATTCGTATTGTTGCCTGGCCGTTGTGCAGTCTGTCGTAATGGGGAATGCAATATCCCACTGCAGCAGGTGTCCCAGCAGACTCGATCCGTGCAGGCATGGTATGGGTACCGATCGATATCTGGAGATCGGAATTGTGTAATGCCAACCTCAATGACACGCATAATCCAGACAGGGACTCACAATTCCTCGGGCTCGACTGACAATAGTGTGTACCCCAGCCATCGAACAGACCGCCTGGGTCTTCCGAGGGCTCTTGTGGATTAATGAGCAAATCGCAAGAGCTGCAGAGCTGGATCACAGACGGCACCACGGCTGGCGATAGGTATGTTGAAATCGCTGCGGACATGCAACGCGACTCCGAAAACGCCAGAATGCTGCGTATGGATGAAGTCGTAGTCCCGCCAATTCGATCCCGGCAGACCCGGCAGGCATCGTATTTTCAAGCCTCAGACTTCAGCTGCAGCATGGATGAAGTGGCCGGGAAGAAGGCGTCAGCAGTCTGTGCGCAGACCTAGCCCAGCCTTCAGGTGCCGGTGCTGCAACCAACTTGAAGTACCGCGCCATGGGGTGTATACTTCACTCACACAGCTCGCCGTCATCCTCCTCTTTCTCATCCTCACCGCCCTCCATTGGTGCTCTCTTCTCCTGTTTCTTGTAAAGTTCCGCCAGGAAATCATTCGTGCTCGCCTCCTCGATACTCTTGTCGTTTCGCACCTGGAGAAACCTTGGAAATCTCATGGACAACCCCTTATCCTCGTGCACTAACCCGATGGCCGCAGTGTAGGTGGGACTAATTGTAATGTCCGCGAATACCATCTCCCATACCTCCTGCGGCTCGAACCACACATCTGGGGTTCCAATATAGTCCACGTAAGTCGGCCTCGCGCTCATGACGTTCTTGCCCACTTTGACGCCATCTTCATCTTCAAAATCAGGGTCGTACTTGGCACGGTTGGCTTTGTAGAAGGCATCAGTGAACCCTGATATGCACTTCGTGACAACTTCCAAAGCTCCCGTTTCCGGGTTTCGACAGGCAAGCAGAATAGGCGACCACCATGCGTTTTTGCGTCCTTGACCGTGCCAAGCACCTACAGGAATGAGGTCAATGGTGTCTGTCTGTGTATTGTAGTCCTTTTTGACCTTGAGCCAGGAGTCCAGTCTCTTGTCGGGTTCGTAGGTCGAGAGGAGAGCTTTACGCCGAGCGCCCGTCTTTTTCTCTTCGCCGGCATCGCCATTCGCTTGTTCGGCGGCGTATTTGGCGGCACCACTCTGGAGAGGATCATTGACTTTCCTGGTCCGTTTAGTACCCTTCCTTCCTTTGGGCTTGGAAGGCGTAGATGGTACTTTGGGCAGGGCCTCAGTGTCTTGCGGATCGATATCCATCTCCGCCAGCAGGTCCGGGTTTGCGGCGTTGTCCAAGACCTTCACCATGATGCCTTCACACTTGATGTCGGTAGCCTGCTTGAAGAAGTTGCTTACAGTTTCGACATCTGCAGAAGTAGCATCCAGGCTCTTCACCCATGTGAAGTGATTGGGGATCTCGACAAAGAGGCTTCGGAGCAGGCTTCGACGCTCACGAAATGGTCGATCGAGGAGCTCCTCGCCGTTGAGATACATCAGATCGAACGAGAACAAACAGACGTCGACCGTCACAGATTGGATGACCACATCTTTGCGTGCACGATTGGCCAGTATCTGGAATGGCTTGAGATCACCAGTCTCACGGTCGACAGCGACGACCTCTCCCTCGAGGATGAAGCTGCTGACGCTCTCGCCTCGAATTCGGGGAACCAGCGCCACAAGGTCAGGATACTTGTCCGTCATGACTTCGAGATGTCGAGAGAAGATGGAGACCTTGCCATCCGCGTCGCAATGCACTTGCGCTCGTTGGCCATCGTACTTGAACTCACAGGCGAAGTCGCGACCTTGCAACTTTGTGAGCATCTCTCCCAGATCTCTGGTGATGCCTCCCAACATCGGTCGCAATGGAATATGCATTGCCAATCCACAGCGAATCAGCAGTTCGTCGTCCATGCCAATCTCGAGCATCGTGGGCACCAGGTCGTTGTAATTCGGCCGCCGCGCGAAGCAAGCTTTGACGAGTTCTTCTGGACCTTGATAGACTGCCGCAAGGTCTTGCTTGGTGAGCTTTTTCAAATCGTCACGGGATCGAGTAGTGAAGTGGGCGCCCCGTGGCTTCGATAGTAGAAATGCTCGTGACAGCGCAATCAGCATGGTCGTCTTGACGGCGCCGATGCGGAGATGCTGCACCAGGGTGCGCACGATGTATCTGCTCTCTTCTGCGCCGCGCGCGTCTTGCACCAGCCGTTCCACGATGCTCTGCTTTACCACTTGACAGCCCTGGCCCTTTGCTGCAGCGATCCGGTGCAGACTGTCGTATACACCTCTTATTGTCAATGGCTTCGGCTTGCGCAGCGTGAAGCTCTGCTTCTTCTTGGCTTCATATGCCACATCTCCCGCATCGCCATGTTTGTTGTACAGCGTCTTCAAGGCGGCATTGTCCAGACCGCACACTTTCTTCAGTGCCTTTGAAATGGCTGATCCACCCAGACCAAGTTCGATGTCGATGTATGGTGGAGATATGGAGTTGGTGGCAAGCCATACCGCGGGGAGGAGCGAATCGGGGTCGCCTTCGATCAGAGTGCGCAGCATGTTGACGAGAGTATCGACCGTCTTGATTCGAGAAGTCGTGCTGCCGACCAATACGAAGCAGTGTGTCAGCAGAGCATAGGTACATTGGTCTCCCTCAGTGGCCCACTGCTTTCGCAGTTCAGGCAGGTACTTTTGCGGATCAAAGGTCAATGGCGATTCGTCAAAGGGTATATCGTGAGAGATGGTGTCCTCTTCCGCTGTCGCCGACTGCAAGGTGAGTGTATTCTTCTTGCCCAGAGCTGCAAAGGCATTTTCCGTCACTTGGACACCATCTGGAGCATCGTCTCCAACGTCCTCTGCGGCTTCTTTTGCTGTTGTATCCTCTCCTGGAGCAACCTCCTTGCGCATCACGCTGGTCTCCTCGTTGCTGGTGTCTCGCTGCTGCGGCTGCTGCGGCTGGCGCTGGCGCTCCTCCGCATCCCATTCCGCCTGCAATCTTCGAGCGAGCTGCTCATCAGACAAGTCTCCATCATGGCGCGCGTTGACCTCGGCCTCATCCTCCACGGCGGGATTGTTCAGAGCGCGACGGTCCTGCTCTTGGGTGACTTGATCGGTCTCTTTTTGTCGCTGCTTAGCAAAGAAGAAGTCCAGACTCTTGACGGGCTGGACAGAAGTCGACGGGTGGGTAGTCTTCCGCCGCTTGTTGGGCGTGCTCATGCTGTCGATTACATGATGTCGGGTGGGTGCTCGATGTGCACCAGAGTCGCGCAACGCGACAGAGTGCGAAGCTCAGTGACGACAGGGACCACCACACCACCCAGCTGGAAATTCACTTGGCGTCGATGTTTCCCTCTGCTCTCTCGAAATGGAGACTTTCAGGTTGGCTCCTACATGCAATCCTACTGCAGGTCAACGGTATACGATGTAGTACAGTACTTAGCAAGCACATCAGCACGGGAGCCGCGAATGGCTATTGATGTCGACGAATATGCCGATTTCGAGATGCCAAATGTGACTCTGGCGACGTCTTTACGGTAGCTACATCGAAGGTGATATAGCATCGAGCGCACAATGACCTTGGGAAACTGCATCGACGAGAACATGATCGACGAGAACACGATCGACGAAAACACGATCGAATGCATCCCTGAAAAGGCCTTCAAGTTCATTACCAGTTCGAAGGTCTGAAAGACAGCGTTTTCCCCCATAGCAAACGTTCCAGAACTATGCCAGAGCGACCGCCGAATTACTCTTGCTTCACCTTGGCCCGAGCCTGCTTCACTGCGGTCCTCCACCATCGCCAAACTTCAGCTGCTTGAGCCTATCCCTCAGTGATAATGTGGCGTCGCGTGGCATTTGCACGCCTTGGTCAGACTCGCGCTCAGAGTCAATTTTTGCTCCTGGCTCTGGTCCGATCTCCGCAACGTCTCCATCTCTATCCGCCGCGACTACTCCTCCCTGTCGCGCGGACAAATCCTCGGCACCTTCGCTAGATGGGCCATCTTTGCTCCTAGGAACAGCTTCTCCGGCCGTCTGCTTCGTAGCCCGATCTGGGACTTGGGCTAGCTTGAACACAGATTCGGTGCCTGGGCCTGTGCTCCGGGCACGGAGCCGGAGCACAGGCATCTCATCTGAGTCCATGCGTGGAGCAAAAGGAGTTGGAAGCTGCTGCTCAGGCGAGAACACGGCTTCGACATGCGGTCGCTCCAGTTGAACAGTGGACCGTCTTTGAGTTTGAGCCCGACCTGCAGGACGCCCGCGACTCGCTATGGTTGGAGGAATCCTCGTGGTCTGAACGTCGTGGGAATATCCACAGAGCTGACTGTTTTGACAGTAGCCACCGAGGTAACGACGGCACACCTGTTGATTAGGAGGAGGGAGGCTTGCTGGTTCGGTAGGTCTCAGCCCGTGAGGGAATGTCGGTAGCATGTGAGCAGGAAGCCGTGCCGTCTGCACATTCGGTGCTGGCATTGTTCCATAGAGAGGTTGTCCTCCAGGCCGTGCAAATGGTCGCGGTGCAGCCGCCTTTTCCCTCGGTGGTAGTCGAGAAGGTCCCGGTGGGAGGCTTGCTGGTCCGGTAGGTGTCAGCGCGCGAGGGAATGCTGGTGGCATGTGAGCAGGATGCCATGATGTCTGCATATTCGGTGCTGGCATTGTTCCAGGAAGAGGTCCTAGTCCAGGCTGTGCAGGCAGTCCCGGTACTGACGCGTTTTCCCTAGGCGGGAGTCGAGAAGGTCCCGGTAGTCCGTGTTGGTTCTCGCTGCCAACGTTGTGAGCAAGCTGGTGTGTCTGCTGTGAGACATGCAAGTAGCGGCAGCGCTCTCCGTGTCTGCAAGCACCATGGAAGTACTTCCAGCACACTTCTCGACGAGGCTGGGGCTGGTGATCCATGTCAAGCAAAGTTGATGTGAAGGATGAGCGAAGCTCTCATACCTGGCAGGTGTGAGATTGCTGCAAACAATGGAGCACAAAGGAGAGATTGCAGAGAAGCCCCTAGGTGTTTGTGCGCAAGACGCTCTGATGTCGAGACCAGCCTGTTGATCTGGCATTATGTTCTTATGCTCAGTCTAGTATACAGCAGTCGTAGTGTCTGATGCTGAGTCGAATCAACGACCAGTGTTCTCGGAACTGGACAGTGAAGCTGACAATTCTAGATTCTCACCAGGGGGTCGTCTATGTCAATAACCTTGGCGGTTGATTTTCCTCACTTGCCTCGCCTCGTCAAACCGAGATTTGCGCAGGGCCAGGCCTTACACCACTAACCCAATTATCTGATCAACGCTGTAGCTCCAAATGGAGCCAACTACCAAGAACGAGCGCAATGAGAGACGGCAGTTGGGCAAGACATACGACTAACCACGGCAGTATCTGCCTTTCGGACGCACTTTGATCGGATAGACGGATCCGAACTTGTGCTGGAACTGTCAGCTGCAGAGAAACTCGCTCTGGTCCCAGGTAAAGAGACTTCTGAGCGAACGATCGGATAGCGAGAACTACAGCTCTTCTTGGGCAACCTGGACGTTTGGTAAAGTACTCTGCCACTTGAGTCAGGAGCATCTGAAGCTGGCGAACATGTCTAGACCATACAGAACAATTGAGCGACACAAGGTCTCGACGAGCAGATGCTTTTCATTTTTGGCAGAGTACTTGGCGAATATGCCGCGTCTTGTGTATTTTTGTGTCTGTGCCATCACAATTTCTTGCAAGCTGTGGGAACTTTCTCCTTGCTTTTCTAAATCCCACGGACGAGAATCAACGTCCGCATCAAGTATGTATTTGCTTTTTTTTTCCGCGTACTTCCTCTGACTTTTCAAGCTGCAGTAACTGAGCTGTCGTGAACTTATTCACATACCCGAGCGAGATATGTAGTCCATCTACTTCGTTTCCAACAACCACGCGAAAGCTTTCTTCCTCTCCTCTCGAAACTTCTCAGCCACTTGCAGATGCGCCACCGTCGTCTCGAATGCATGCGGCACACCAGGAGACACAATCACACGAGTGTCGACACCTGCCTTCTTCAACTCGCGTTCGTACAAGAGCGTATCGTCGCGGAGCGGGTCCAGTCCACAGGCATGCAGCCACGTTTTGGGCAGACCTTCATGTTTGGAAAGCATAGGGCTGTAAAGCGGAGACTTTTGATCGGGATTGTAGACGGCTGTAGATGATCATCAGTACGACTGCCCCATTGGTAGAAGACAATGCGGTAGAGACGGGATGCAAGGCAGAGACATACACATGATTCTCTGGATAGCGTCTTTATTGATGAGTCCTTTCGCGTTGGCATTCTGTTCGAATGATTGATAGTCCTTCTTCATCGCCTCGGGCACGACCTCGTTACCGACGGTGATGGGATAGTTGAGAAAGATGCCCGTCAGCGGAGGTGACAGCTTCTGATCACGAGCCAGATGGGAAAGTACCGCAGCGATGTTGGCTCCCGCGGAGCTGCCACCGACGACGAAACCTTTACTCAGGTCGGCGTGGAGAGTGGAAGCATTGGATGAGGCCTATTGGGGGTCAGGTCAGTCAATCTTTCCGCGACACGTGAGTGAGGAGGAACGTTCGCATACCCATTTCAACGCATCCCAGCCATCTTCGATGGGCTTTGGGAAGACGTGTTCCGGGGCTAAGCGGTAGTCAACGCTGATCACCGAGGCGCCGTGACCTTGTACCAGACCAACAGCAGCCGGGCCTTCCATTTCGGGGAATCCAAGTCTGTTATAGCAAGATATCAGTCTCTCGGGTCTACAGCCATGCATTGGCAGCTGAGTACACGCACATGAATCCACCACCGTGAAACAGCACAGCAAGCGGTCCCGGTCCCGCGGACGACGAAGCCGGTTTGTAGAGCACAGCAGGAATCTGATAGCCATCACGAGCGGGAATAGAGATTTGCTCCTCTGTGACTCCCGTCCTATCTATCTGCTGGTAGGGAGCCTTGAGTTGCATTTGCTTCATCATGGGCCTCATGCCAGGGATCTTGGACGGGTCATCTGCTGCCGGTGGCCCTGGAGGGGCTGTTTCGAGATACTGTTGTCCTCATTCAGGGGCTATACTGCCTGATGCTTGACGTGTGAGCGATTGGGCACACCTTTTGGTATTCTGGGTCCATATCCGCCAGCATTGGCCATTTCGAAGAGTCGGAGTATGCCATTGTCACGAGAGACGGCTTCTTGTTTGCCGTGTACGGTTCGGGATGCTGATTGATGGCGATGACGTAGAGACGAATGGAGTGTCTACCTATTCACGGGGACGATGGCAACAGAACAGAGTCGGATACAGCGCAGTGCATGTACTACATGTACTACTAGGTATGCAGGTACATGTAGTGATGTCGTTGACCTTGTTGGGTGACGTATAACGAGGAGGATCCGGGGTACCGGTAGTTGTCTCGGGGCTCGGAGTCGCACTGCCGACAAACTCCCGTTTAAAGGAGGTAGCTTTTGGATAGGAGGTAGAAAGCCGGGCATTTCCGACTTTCTGATCTCTACACATATCAGTATCTGAAGGGAGAGGATCCTGCTGGACTCAACGATGACACTTGATAGGTAAGTTCGTGTCTTGTAGTACTTCTTACTGCTCTTCTTCGTCGGGGTCGTTGATCATGAGCCCGTCCGGAAGGGGGTGATGGTTCTCACCATTATTGATACCAAATACATAGGTTGAACATAGCAGGGAAGGGCCATGTCACCCAGGATTGTGCTGTTGGAACGTACACATTGTACAGTATGGCACACAGTACAGGAGTAACAGGACCACGTCTTGGTCAAGGATCAACTGCAGCATAAGTTGCATAACCACCAGCATACACTCGTTGCGCATGAAATGGTCGGCAGTCAATCAGGGAAAATCAGCAAGATTTACCTTCGTATCTGCCACACAAGAATACGCGATGAAAGACCTGTATCCGTCGCCTACTACCGTACCCAAGTCTCACTGCTTGGGAATCACAATCCTATCGAAAACACACCTCTTCTACGCAACAGCTGCTGCTAAGGGAGTAGTGCTTCGATGGTCTCCTGGCGCACTGCTTGCGGCCAGAGTGCGACGAGAATAAAGAAGAATGGCTCTCTATCTGTGGACAGAATCGCGGTGACTGTTTGGTTGCATCGTAGTGGGCTGTGCCAGGCTGGACTGCGCCGTCCCTGAACCCTCCAGCTGAAAGGAAAAAAGATAAATTCCACGTCCCGGGAAAGTTGTCGCACCTCTGGCGCAAGCAATGTCTTCGTAAGACCAATTCATCGGCTACACTCTCGGGCTTGACGAGCAGATGCGCGCGCTACCTCTGCAGTCGGTCGGCGGTCGGCCATGGTGAATCGATGAACGAATCGCTCGCTAGACAAAGCCTCCATTCTGTGGATTGCCTCGGATGCCAATGTAAAAGTCGGTGTACCATCGACCATCTTGATGCCGCTTCCACGAAGCCTCAGACAACCCGCCGAGTGTCACATCTCCCGAGCCTGTCACCTTCACCTCTGCAATCACAATGGCCTCTCCTTTGGCCAAGTTGACGTTGCATGAGCAATGCATCACTTCGAAGTAGACGTCGGGATCACGAGCTTGCCAGGCACGCCACATCTCGGTAGATTCGTTCCAATTCATTGGCTTGGGAATATTGTCAAAGTGTGCTCGAAAATCTGGCGAGACATAGGACTGCACCTCCTGACCGCTCGCCGTCTTGTGATCGTAGTCGCGGTTGTTCAGGGTCAGAACTGAGAGTCTGAAACGGTTGCATAGTCGTTCTGCGATGCGGTCCGGGTCGTCCTCGTGAAGCTCTATAAAGGTCGACGATCGTTCGGCCATGATCGATTGATAAAACTTTTTCTTGCAGTGTAGATTTGCAGCAGACGTTCGAGTATTCGAATGGGGAGAAAATCTAATTGATGAGGAGGCTTTATCTTCGGCCAGACTAGCGGCCAGGAGTGATGAGTGAAGCAGGCTATATCCATACTGTGCTAGGCTGATACCCCATGGCACGTCAGCTTGAACCTAGAACTTTTCGAATTATCTTATATGAAAGCAGCAGGGGTAGCAAGAAATGGTCGTTGCCAAGTCGCTGTTGTTGCTGAAAGCTGCCCAACCTATATTTCATTTGCATAAAAATGCATAAATATGAGATGGAACGTATCGGCGCTCGCGCAATCAGGCCGGTCTTGTACCTAGAAAAGTGTAGTAACAGGAACTTGTAGATACCTAGTAGGAAGAAGTAAGCTTAGTCCATCTGCTGCTTACACAAACAGCATGTATAAGTAGAGCCGATGTGTAGGCAAGTATTTCTTTCATCCTATACCTAACTAGTTATAGAGGCTATACAAGTACATTGTGGGCCACTATAGAGATACATGTAAGCAATATAGATAGATTGTTCTAGTACAATTGATAGACAACCTTACACGCCAGCTATCTAATTCTACAGTGATTTAGGATTCTATGTATTTCCTTATCGTATACATCTTATAGAAAGGCTTAGATGCTATAAACAAGCTACCTTGGTATAGAGCGTAGATACAACTATAAGGTAGAGATCTAATAGAACAATAATACTCTCGCTGATTTATATACTATTCGAGAGTCTACTTCTTTTATATATAGGGATACTAGCTGATCGGCTATTAGAGTCATCTCTAAGTCAGGTAATGCGTAGTTAGTAGTAGAGTATCTTATCTTAGACAAGACTAGACATCTCAATTATATATAAATCGACTATAACATTGAAGTATGTCTACTAGACGCGCAGTAAAAGCTATTGTAGTATGAACTTAACTATTACAAGCGAATCAAGTTAGTACGACTAGAAGGCTAAGATAACTATATATCTAATAGGCTCTAGATAATACGACTTAGTATACTTACTACTTGCACGTCGTAAGAGGCGTATACTACTCTAGAAGAGTTATACCTTAAGCTTTTCTACTATGATACAGTATAGTTCTCGCCCTCTCCTAGTCTCTAGAAATAGGTGAAAATAGCTGAAATCTAGCTCTAGTATATATTTTTTTGAGATGTGAATAGCTTATCTAGGAACCACGAGAGACTTCTAAAGATTCTCTAGAGAGTTGCTACGCTTTAAAACAGAAAAAGCGCCTAGATCAAACTTGATGTCTATCTAGTACTAATGAACGCGAGTTAGTAGACCGAAACTGTGTTGTAGCTCTATTCATCAAAAAAACTAGTTCTTATTAAAAAACGCTAACTACTAATAGAGCGAGAGAGGGTTCTATTAATAGTAGATTGTAGCCTAGTCTTTTACTAACTAAGACCTCACTATACAGTAGAAAAGGGCCCCCGTAAGACTATGGCTCGGCTTGTTAACACTAATGTAGTCTTAAAGTAATAAAGTCCTAATAAAGGTAGCCTACATTATTATAATATATATCTATCTCGTCTAATAAAGGGATATGTAGAGGGTACATAAGATTCTAATTCAGTATAGGGACTACGGCATGTAGTAATAAATACTAGTGTACATTAAAGAGTTATAAATCAATTTGTACAGTATGTACCGGAAACATACTCTAGGATAGTATTTTATATTTTAGGTAGATATTTGTCGTTTATATAGCCTATAAAGGCTATACGTCGAATCGCCAGATTCAAATAATATTACTACGCAGTTCTAGAGAGACTTCCTAAGAAACAGCTTGATAGAACGGCCTAAAAGGACTCTCTGTATAATTATGATCTCTTATAACAGAGGCTAGATTATGTAAGTAGTTATATAGTGATTATATAGAGAGACGCTATAACAAACTATCTACCTTAGAAAATGTCTCATCCTAGTTTTTTACGCTAGGACCTAGGACTTTATTTCAATGACTCTAGGCATTAATTAGGCAATATGTGTTCAAGGAGTTTTTTCTATAAATCTTTAAACTTGAATCTGATTTGGCTTTATAGCAACACACGTCTTCTATAAACAACGGGAGAGTGAAGTGAGATTATAGAGATTTTCCAAGACTCTCTAGAGACAACTCTACAACGTCTAGCAGTAAACTTGTACCTTGCAACTAAGATGCTACTACTATCTTCGGCTATTTAGGGACTAAAGATGATCAAGCGTTACAAAAGCCTCTATCGGATGAGCAGTCTCTAGAAACTTGTCCGATAATATATATACTTCTGCTAGAAGGCTCAAAGGCGTTGCAACAGGAATAAATCGAAATCGGTATCTGTACTAATACAAATACAAAGGTATGAACTTTGAAGAGAAGTAGGCGTACTTTTATAATGTACATCTAGACTTCAGACAGTTATAGCGCTTTTTCTTGGTTTTGAAATGTTGGAAACGTTAGACTATATTTAGGAATATCTGGACAGAGGCTATAGGTTCTACAGCGAGTTGCTACCTACTAGAGAGTATTAGAGGTAGCGACACTATCCTGTACAAAGAGAATAGGGCATATATCTAGATTTTCTCATGATAGCTATCCTAATCTCATTGTTCTATAACGTTCGTTATACGACACGTTTTCTTTGTCGTGATCGATGCGTTTCTACTAGTCAGCGAGACAAATAATAGTCGTCTCACACTAGAGGTCATCGACTAGAAGGAAGTGCTCAAGAAACAGAAGCTATCATTAAATCAAATATGCGATTAGTGAGATACATAAAGAGCTCGAAGCCTTCTTATCCAGATAAAAGTAGAAACGAGGAAGACAGAGTAGGGAAGTAAGGGGAAGAGTAAGAAGGGTAGCCGGGACCAGAAGGGAAAGAAGCAGACAAAGCTCGGTCTCTCCTCTAGATATGCAGTTGTTGGATACCTTAGGTATATATAGACCCCTATCCCCCTCCATTGCGCTATGTAATTAATGCTTAACAGTATTTATGCATCATCCGAAGCTGCGCGAACGCGAATAAGCTCGCATTCAGAACCGATCTCAAGAGGGTGACCATTTCAAACGGTAAATATGGTTGTCTCAATCGCGTGAGCTCCATAAGGCTATTGAAAGCGCCCGGCACAAGTCCGAGCACTGGATTCTCCAGCACTGCATGAGCTTCAACGGTCGCTAGAGCGGCGATCGGGACAGCTAAACACAATGTCCAATGCCAATTCCCTCTGAATGCAGAGATAGCGGACTTGACGGCCCATGCGATGTAGAATGATTGTTGCTGCACCAAGGCCCGAGAGATGTGGTTGTGGTCCACCCTACAGTCCCCAGTGCAATCCAGTGCCGAGGGACCATAACGATTGTAGACGTGACGAAGATCAGGGTCGCTAATCACGCTGAGTGCGGCTCGCAGGTGGATAAAAGTGTCATTGTGCGCTTCCTCTGGAGCAATTTTGTCCGGATGGTATTTTTTGGCCCTGCAATGGACATGATCTGTTAATCCAACGTAGGCCTACCGAAAGAGCAAAAAATACGCGTGAACGAAAGGCAGAGAGAGACAAACTTACATGATACGAAAAGCCTTTTTGGCCATCTTCTGGTCCGCATCGAGAGGTATGCCAAGCATACGATAGTAGTTCCCTTCGCCTTGTACGCGACGATCAACCTTGAGGACGGTGAAGAGAAAAAAGGCAACGATGATGATTTTGTGTATCCGCTTCCGGTCCCGATGGATAAATGTGGATTCTGAAGTCGACGGTTGGGCAGGTGTTCTAACGAAGATTGCATACAGTGCGATTTGGGCGTACTTGGCGATAATCTGCGGTGAATATACACTATTAAGTAATGGTTTCACGTCCGTCTTCTTAGCACATTCAAATAACATGTCTAGTATACGTACACTTGGGATAAAGAAGCGAGCTGCCCACCAGTATAGCAGGCTCGTTATCAGAGGGAAGGATTTCGCCCTTATTATGCCTTCATACCATATCGATGGCGAGAAGGTCATATCGTCGTTCCACAACCGATTCCATAGCCTAGACATAATTCTCTGTTTACCGTATCTGAGCGTAGAAAGAAGTCGTAGTCTCGTAGAAGGGATATCGCCAAGTTTCAACAGTGCTCTCTCGCGATATATTCGGGTCGCATACGATTCCTAGGTATGCAGTCCGCTGTTCTTCTTCGGGTAGCTTCTCCCGAGCACGATTATCTCAATTACTATCAGGCAACTATCTGTATCTTACCAACTCCCATTGCTCGGTCGATGGGGAGCTGTACACTAGGATAGGCAATATGAGAACACCAACAGTAAGTAGCCGGCCTTCGTAATGCCCTGAAACAAGAAGCCGTTCAGGCTAAGCATGTTGGCCTACCTATTAGGGAAATCGTAGTACTCGCTTATATGCTCCTGTCGTAACTACAAGCCTTCCCGGGATCGGTAGAGAACATGTATATATATATCGGCAGTACTGAGTAATCGCTAACAATGTCGGAAACATAGGCATGTATAAGGTAAGGTCGAATAGCAGGGATACTCCCAGAACGACGACTCCGGCATTTGGACAGTTGGACTCGGGATACAGGGAAGAAAAAGCTGGAAGATTCGAAAATCCTTGATCCAAATTTACCCCCTTTCACGAAGTTGATAGAAGTGCATAATGTTATACAATAAAGTATTCAGAATTTATGTTCTAGCGTCAAGTACTCCCCGGGTGATAGGGCTTCGAAGCGATGTACACGGGCGACGTCCAGGCGAGGTATTTTGTATAGGAAGTTTAGGGATTAATCCATCTCTGACAGCGTGACTAAGGTACCTGAGTGACTATTGCTACCGACACTTCATCCGAATGCTTCCAACGCTCCCGCTAGACATGAGTGAGCGTTATAACGCCGCATCCAGTAATGCGGCAGCAAAGTGTTGCAGCATAGACTTTTACGCTTTAACGCAGTACTTGCTCGCTAACAACAGCAAGAAGAGGAGCAGCAGACTGTAATTAGGAGGACAGACAGTACTCCCCGCAGAGTTGACAATGGCAACCGCAGGTCGACTGGGAGCGGCTCCGCCACTTGTGGTTGGTGATGTTGAAGCTGGCCCTGGCGTCGACATTATGTCTGAAATTGATGTTGATGTAGAGGAAATTGAGGGATTGGGACTTTCAGAGGACCGGAGGTATCCATCATCCACGATACAGGCCATGGGAGTTTTCTTGCAGGCCAAAGGCACTGCGTCCGTGTCATTGTACACAGCTTGCAGATACGACACAACAACAGTGCTATTCACTGGAGGAGGCCCGGAGGAATAGCGGGAATCACCGTTGGACCAGTGGTTGATCGCCAGATGGCCTGGCGATTGCGGCACATTCACGGTGATGTTGTCGGTGTATTGCCCATCGAGGCCGTAGTGGACAATCTCGGGGAGCCAGGTAAACGACCACAGATGAGAGGCGGTGTGAAACGACTCGACCGTGCCGTTCCAGGGCTCCCGTTGATACGTGCTGTTCTCGGGATTCCCAGTGGAGAGATAACGTTGCGGTTTGACCGTGTACAGCAGCGCCGGTGAGGTCGACGAAGTGAGAAATTCAATATCGACTTCGGAGGTAGCGTTGCGGTAATTGAACAGGGCAGTCACCGTTCCCGGAACAGTTGCAGTCTGAATGCGGGCTGAATATGAACCATAGAAGTATGAGGATTTCCGGGTGAAGATTTGGCCACTTGGCACCAGGTTGCTATCTGCCAGGGCTGGCGAGACCGTCAACTCCAGCCCCAATGCAGTCAATCGGACTTGATTGGGGGAGAATGCCCTGGCATATGGAGCTTCAGGTTGATTGACGGTGAAAGCAGCAGCGATGAACTGGTCACTGAGCTGATTGCGAGAGACCTTGGTAAAATCGGTTACGAACAAGCTGGTGAAGATGCTGCCGGTGGGATCCTTGGCATCGATGAGACCGCAGTCACAGTCTTGCAGCTGCAACACCATGACCGAGGCAGCGGTGCTCCTCCGAGGGGGGAAGCACAGAGAGAGAGAGAGAGAGATAGCGTGACACGCGAGGGACTGCGCGCTGTAGACGTGTCCGAGATCAAGTGTACGTACAGGCAGCGTGTAGGAAGCTAGCTCTGTCGGCTGGGAAACAGTCAATAGAAAGAATAGACATAATCAAGATGTGATATGAGTAATAATATCAAGTTATTCAAGTGAGGGTTGTTATAATTACCTTTTGAATTTAGGATTCTTAGTCCGTGCATATCGAGGTATCATCTACCTATTCTACCATACATTATTAGAGAGAACCTTAGTTAAATTGGAATAGCTCGCTCAGTGTCGCTTATCAACTTTGTAACCCTAGAGATATATAGAGACAGCTTTGGCTAGTATCTGTTTACGCTCGCTAGGTATCCTACGAATCACATTTTCTTTCCTTATCTATTCTCCGGGTCTATGCTTCTCCAGCTCATATGTTGCAACTTGCAACTTGCAACTTGTAGATAGTACCTACCGTATGTATAGACATGGTATCTCCGAAGCCCTGTCCGTACAATATCCTGCAGTCTTAGTAGATAAGCCGAAAGAGTAAGCGAGCACATAGGCCCCTGATTAGGGCACAGTTCCTAAAGTAGCTATATACACGGACCAGTTTGGGATGGTAAGCGAGCATCGTAATACCTAAGTACGGTATGTAGAACCGGACGTAGTGCTATAGAAGGTTCTACTAGGGTAGGGACCTACCGTGTATATATGTTAGATATATCGAACGATTAGATAAGGTTGGTAGCATTATAGAATCATCAGACATCCTCCCCTTGCTTGACCTACCCCCTTGCCTTCCCCTCTCGTTCTCTACAAGGATTCTAGAACAAGGCTACCTGCTGCGCTTAAGGTCCGCGCGGTAAATAATCGATCGGCAAGGCTACAGGCAGCTCTACGCGTAACATACCTCCATATCTCGATATCGATGTGATATACTTTGCCGCCTCCGCATCGCTGTAATGCTATCAAACCAAATTCAAACATGAAGAGGAGTGGAAGGGGAAGAGGGCGGGGTGCTGCCCTTGTCAAGGCTGTCAAACCCAACTAACCTAGCAGGTCCCAAGTTTGGTTTGCTCAGACGTTCCATTGTACAGTAGTAGAGCCCGGTAGCTCAATTTCGATTGAGGCTTGAGGTCAAACCTCATTTAAAGTCTTGGCCTAACTTCGATTGGGAACCAGCCTGGGCATATGATATGCAGTGTGAGTGTGTTGTTATGCAGTTACGTCTAGGGCTGCCCGTAGCCTCGCCAATGATCGATCAAAGCCCCCATTCCAGGTAGCAGAAAAGTGGCGGGACTGTGGGCGTCGGCGATGTTGGACTATGGCAGAGGCGATATCAGTGAATCACTCCCAGGACGCTATGTGCGAATGTAGTCCGAGCCTATTCAGGTATTTCGTGGCTGCGCGCCAACCGCGAAGGAAGGGCTTCGCTGGCTGTTCATCATAGAAATCAGGTACAACGTCGACGCGAAACATGCAAGTATGGAGATCGCCGACCTGATCCAACCACAGCAACGGCTCAGGTCAAATGTCCAGCTGTTCAGCGAGAAGAACCAGCTCCAGTCTACTCGAAGCTCTCGGACAGCCCTGGCTGGGGACGATCGACACTTGACATGGTATATCGAAGCAACTCCGCCGTCAACACGACCAACAACGCCCTCCGGGTCTGTAACAAGCAGCTCATCATGCTCCAGTCTCAACATCGGATACTGCAAAGGTGACGAGGTCAACCCTCGGCCGCTGGTCAGCGCACAGAGGCTCCAAAGTCGCTTCTACGAGAGCGATGATTCCATTTGTCGGGCCCAAGGAGCAAACATTGTCAAGACTCCGTTGGAAAGTTCGCACCCTGGAGCCACCACCAGCGTTGTGCCAACAGCTTTTGATTCGACGACCGTGTTTGACTCTCCGACGCGGAAGCCTTTGGTAATCGATCCTTTCCGGGCTGTGTTCAACGTCATGTTCTCACTCAGTCTCATTGGGGCTCTCATCGCAGGCTATGCCATAAGCCTGAGAGTTTTCGACCTTGGCATTACCTCTGTCGGCCTGTACGGCACGCTATTTCTAATCGAATATACCACTCAGGTGTCTTGTGCGATTGCCAACCGCATCACAGTCGATCGCCTTGCACATCGTCAAGCAAAGAAAGTGCGCGAGAGTCTCCCGGACGGTGGCGATTGCGAAAAGGGGCAGGTTCCCGCTCGATCTCCCGGAGCCCTCCACCCCGAAGCGGAGGTCTCGATCGCAGTGGTGGGCTATCGTGAGGACGAGCAGGCGTGGCGTCACTGTTTACGCAGTCTGCAGCACCAGACGCTTCGACCCAAATGCGTGATTGGTGTGGTTGACGGCGACGACGAGCCGGACCTCAGCATGGCAAACGCTTTCGTCGACGAGTTTCAGTCGATGGCCGCCCCTCTGATCCGTCTTCCCATCTTATTGTCCGATCTACACCGCAACACCTACTTCAGCAATATGCCCCTGGACACTCGTTCCCTTCTCGCCAAAGCAGGCAGCTATCTGAGCGGCCGCTATCGACCGGGCCACGCTGAGGCTCTCGCGCTCGCGAGACAAGCCGTTATGAACCAAGTGCTCGAATGGGACCGGAAGTGGAGTATCAGCAGTATGGAAGCAGTATGCTTCAGCCAACCGCACGGTCACAAGCGTACCGCCATGTTCACTGCCTTCTCGATCAGCCTGTGGGCACTGCGGACCCGAGACGGCGTATTTACAACGGATTCGGACACGCTCGTGCAAGAAGACGCTCTGGACGAAATGCTTACGCTATTGCACTCTTCGCCCAACATTGGCGGCGTGACGGCCGACGTGAAGATCTGGAACCGCGCGGAAAGCCTTCTGACGCGACTGTGCGCGGCTCGATATTGGTTTGCCTTCAACATCGAGCGCGCATGCCAATCCACCTGGCGCTGCGTTGGCTGCCTCTCGGGCCCCATGAGCATGTATCGCTCGTGCGACCTCGACACGATCCTCGGGCCGTGGAATTTACAGACGTTGGGCGGTAAGTCGACCACTTTTGGCGACGACCGTCACTTGACGAATCGGCTTTTAGCTCTAGGGTTGAAGACTTGCTACACGCACCGCACCTGGTGCGAGAGTGAATCTCCTACCACGTTTGTGCGATGGATCTCGCAGCAAACCCGATGGAGTAAATCCTTCTTTCGCGAGGCTTTCTGGTTCCCTCCCAGCTTCGCCTTTCACTCGCCCTGGCTGCTCTTGGAGACCACGATCCAAACATTGTACCCCTTCATTCTGGTGGCGACCATATTCGACTTGCTCTTCGGCTCGTCGAATAATCAGTGGCGTCCTCTCATCTGGGTCATTGTCATGTTTGGTCTTGCTTTGGTCAAATGCATAGTAGCGCTCTGCATAAGCTGTGACCCATGGCTTCTGCTATTCTCGACCTATAGCTTCATTTACTTCTTCGGATTGCTGCCCACCAAGCTCTGGGCTCTCGTGACCATGAACTACACGGGATGGGGCACCTCTGCGCGTTCCTCCACCGAACGGAGACGCGAACAGTCTGTCTGGCAACGTACATTCCACGTCGGACATCTCGCAATCTGGTATATCGCCATCTTCGTCGGGCTGGGATTCTTCATCAGTAGACTGTGTGGTAACCTGGTATTCCTGTCGGTCGGTGCTGTTGCGTTCCTCCTTACGATATTCCTCTACTGGGGCTCTGCTGAGGTGGTCCAGTGCGGCGTCCAGATCAAAAAGTGCCTCGCGAGAATAGGGGTCCGACGCAAATCACCATCAGGGGCATGGGCAGCCAGCGCATGGGCCGCGGACAGCTCGCTCGAGAAGCCTCCGAAGGCGTACTTGGGTCGGCCAGAGAGCGGATAAGAGGTGCTGAGTGAGTAGAAGCTGGTGACTAGGTGGAACTGAAGCCATGTGCACGCTAAGCGGCCTAAGCCACGAAATGGCTATTTCCCTTGCAGTTATCGACACGACCTATTTCGTACTTCGAAGCGAGCTCGGGGCCTCCTAGTCAACACGGACGGTACCTACCGTTGATAGTGTCAGGAGTTCGGAGGTTCGTTTGGTAGCTGTGGTAGGTACCTTCTAGAGAAAGCGTGCGAACTTGCGCGATAATCCTTGAGCTTACCTACTCAAAAGCGGGACCACCCTGCCGCCAAGAAGTCAGCAGCACTAATGTAGCTAGGTACCTAGGTACCTACTACATGATATGTAGTTAGATCAGGTCTTAGAGGTACCTAGTCCCATGTTTCGCCTAGGTTTTATCCGGGGTCGGCCGCACTTTGTTCCGGAGGTCGCTTCGCGTAACTACATCCTGCTACTGTATATACCTCACAGGTCGAAGAGATTCACATTTGGGAGGTATATATCGTCACTCAGCTGCTAGGTAACCTTGATACGCGCTTGTCTCGTAGTGCGAACGACTAGTACAGGTAGGTACATTTAGTTCCTTACAATAAATAGCAGTTCCTTACAATAAATAGCAATTCTCTACAATAGATAGCAGCTCCCAACGGGTCATGATTAATGATTAGCCCCCCCCCCCCCCCCCCCCC